TCACCTAAAGCAGAACGACAGAAGGGAGGGCAGCACAGAGATGGGGAAATCCCCTCTGGAGTCTTTCAAGAAGCTAGGCGGGCCTAAATATTCACACCCACAACCTCCACCCCATACCCTAGGGAGAAAAATGAAGGCTCAGTCAAGTGAAAGACTTCCCTGGAGTCAAGAAAGCTGCAAGGCCTGGAAAGGAAGTGCCCCCATCCCTCTCCTCCCACCAGGCCTAGGCAAGTTTCTCTCCTCACAGAGACTATGAGGTCGAAACCACAGAAGAGAGGACTCTTGTGTCTGCGGCTGGGTGGGAGGAAGGGCTCAGCGCCAGACGGGCCATAGGGAGGAGAGGGCTGTCCTGGAGCTGGTGCAGGACTCTGGAGGCCTGGTGGGAGGGACCGAGCTGCATGAGGCCTGCACCACCCCAGCTTTCCCTCCACATTGGCCTGGAGTAAAAAGCAACTATGTTGGGTCAAATAACTCAGCTGGTTGGCTTTGTCTTTGTGAATGAGAGAGATGCAAGGTATCCCCTAGGAGAAAGTCAACGGAACACCTCCCACCTTGGCTTAGGAGTCCAGTGGAGGGTGGGGGGACCTCCAGCTCTGCAGTAGGCCCTGGATCCTAGCCTCTGGGGCTGCTCCTCCCTCCCTTCCAGGGCCCAGAAGCAAATGGTGGTTCTGGCACTGGGACCGCCCATGACCCACTTAAAACGGAGCCAGGGCTGCCGCCCCTCCCCTGGGGGACCCAGCAGAGCAGGGGAGGGAAAAAAGGCAAGGCAGTGAAGTTGGCGGTGGGCAGCTCCCCAGATGCCCAGGCTCGTTTTCTTAGGGGCGCTCCCTTTCAGGTCTCAGAGGACTCTAGGCCTGGGAAGAGGACGACTCCTCCCCGAGAGTCAGGCTCAGCCTCCAGCACTAGGGCAGGTTTTTACTCTCCCTGGTGTCTGAGCACTCCACGTTTCGTCTTCCACCCCCATTCCTGGGGCCATACTTTTCCAGTCGGCCCCAGACCCCTTCAGGGACAGAGAGAGAAGAGAGTATTATTTCCAAAGAGTTTTCTCCGGGGTGGGACCAGGGCGGAGACGCCAAACCCAGATCCCATCCCCCTTCTGGGGCCCTTCCTGGCCCCTCCCGACCGCACCCAGGCCCTTGCCAGGCTGAGTGGGTTGAGATGGCCCAAAATAAGAAGCTCATTAAATCCGTCTCCCACCTTCACCCCAAAAAAAGAGAGAGAGAGGAAAAACCTCAGACAACTCCCACGCAGCTTCCTCTGGGGCCCGGTGGGCCACCGTCTGGGCCGGGGTGGGGGTGGGGGCGCCCGAGCCAGCCGAGACGGGTGAGGGCACCCCGGGCCAGACCCTCTCCCCACTCCCCGAGCGACGCCCCCTGGCTCCCTGCAATTAACACAGAAAAACAATTAACAACGAAAAGGGCCTGAAGGCGCCGACGCGGGTGGGGATAGGGGAAGGCAGCGACCCGGCCGATCACCCGGCTCACAAGGAGAGCTTTGTGTGGACGGAAACGCGGCCAGCGCGCCGGCGCGGCGACCCTCGACGCCAGGGATGCGGGTACGGGGACAGCGGGGTCCTCTCGGGGAGACGGGGGCTGTGGCCCTGGACGCTCGGCCGTCCAGCCTCGACCCCCATCTGGCCGCAGACGCGTCCGCTGAGGGCCTGGGCCGCCCGGGGAGGCCGAAGCGCCCACTGGAGGGCGCGCCGGCGGGAGAGCGCCGGAGAGCTGGAAAGTCGAAGAAACAACAAACTCTCGCGCCTGACGAGGAGCCGGGACAGCGCGGGGTTTGAGCGGAGTCCAAATGTTTACCAGGCGGTGCCAGAGCTGAACGCAGAGCCCCAGGGAATTGGGGAAGGGGGAGTCTGCCCCAGTTGTAAAGTTCTTCCAAGGACTGGGAAAAAAGAAGGAATGGGAAAGAGAGTCGGCGGCGCAGGGGGTGGGGGCAGCTGGTTGGAGGCGGGCAAAAGTTGGATCGATCTGGAAGTTTGGAGACGAAGAGGAAAAAGAAAAGGAGGGGGAATCCTGCAGGCCCGAACAGCCGAGATCCCAAGAGCCCTCCTCTCCGAATAGAGGCTGTCCCCGTGGAGACCCCCGGGCTCGCCTCCCGGCGGGCGAGACTCCAGGAAGGGCCGGGGAGCTCACTTACTTCGGGACTGAAGGTGCTGCTTTGGGTCGAGCCGAGGGAGGCGAGCGCGGTGCCGAGCGTGAGCAGGGGGAGCAGGAGACAACGGGAGGGTCTTGGGGCGGGAGACATGGTCCGAGACCACCGGGTCAGCCGGGCAGTGTGGGCTCCGCGGCGGGGCCCACGCCCTGGGGTCGCACCGCCACTCCCTCGGGGCGCCTTTGTCTTCGGTAGCACTGAACTTTAATTCCTAGAGCGCTGTCGGCTTGGAATTAAGGGGATTGTTCCTGAAAGTGCCTGTTTGCTCTTCTCCTCTTTTCCGGTTTTTGATCTTTCTTCTGCTTAGTCGGCGAACTGGGGTCTGGATCCCTCTCGCTCTCTCCTCTGGTCCCTCCCTTTTCCCGCAGCCTCTCCTCCGTCCCCGCCCCAGTGCCCTCCTTTCCTGGTTGGGGACGTGGTTGTTTTAGCCTGAATCCAGTTACAACCAAGAACTGGAAAAAAAAAAAAAAAAAAAAAAAACCAACCCTCTAAGTTGCCTTTTTGTGGTGCAGGCTGCCATCTGCAGGGGTTGAGGCCACGGTGGACAGCAGGGGGCTGTAGGGGACCCAGGGGACGGGATGTGGGAGACTTTCTCCCCATAAGCATATTCTGAGTGGCTTGATTCCTCTGGTATTCAGCATTTGTCTCACCTCAGGGTGGAAATTATTGGGGGCTACGTGGCTAGGGGCAACAAGGAGCTCAAAGTGTGGGATGGTGAGGTCTTCTTCCATGCTCATGAGACCTGCATAGGGAGAAGGGGCCAGTTTACTAATAGATGGGGGATTACCTTCTGGGCCCTATAGACAACTGTCTATGTTCCTCCCTCCGCTGCCAAAAATTCCAAACTATAACCCAACTACCAACAACAAACCCCACAACCATACTGGATCTGTGGCTCCAACCTTGTAGAAAGACAAAGATGATTCCTTTATTGTCATTTGTAACGTGGCTGCACCTTTAATTGGAACTCGCTGACAGGAAAAGGGTACAAGGCCATGGGATCTGGGGAAAGCAAATCAAGCTGGGTGAAATTATTGTAAAAGAAGGGACTGGGAGTTGGGACTCTGGGGTTTAGTTCCACCTCTACACTGAAAAAGGAGGCAATTCTTAAAGAGTAAAATCTCCTTTAGGGACTTACTGGACTCAGAACAAAAGATGGAGGTATGTAGGAAAGGGAGAGGGCAGGATAAAGCTGACCGTGAGAAAGGGAGACAGATAAGAGTCCGGAACTAGACAGATGTGGAAAAGCAGCACAACAGAAGCAGGAAAAGTGTGGGAGACAGAAAACTCGACTATCAGCGAAATCTAAGATCCAAGAATTGCATTTGGTCAGTGAGAGAGGACGGAGGTAGTACGAGGAAGGAGAAGAAAGCAAAGGAAGGAATAAAGGAGGGTGGACAGAAATTAGGTCAGGTAGGAAGCTTCAGAAATCCAAGGGATTCAGGAACTATCGCACTTCTGTGGCAGAAGAATGGAAGTCTAGTGCTCAGTACTGTAATGAAAACAAAGGTCTTTTGCTCTCAGATTCACGATCAATAAAATGAAAAGCTTTTCAGGTCCTGTGGAGCCTCCAGGTTTGTGGGAGGTATATGGTGTGTATTTATTTATTTATTTATTTATTTTTTTTAAGACAGAGTCTCGCTCTGTCACCCAGGCTGGAGTGCAGTGGCTTGATCTCGGCTCACTGCAAGCTCCGCCTCCTGGGTTCACGCCATTCTCCTGCCTCAGCCTCCTGAGTAGCTGGGACTACAGGCGCCCGCTACCACGCCCGGCTAATTTTTTGTATTTTTGGTAGAGATGGGGTTTCACCTTGTTAGCTAGGATGGTCTCGATCTCCTGACCTTGTGATCCGCCCGTCTTGGCCTCCCATGGTGTGTGTTATTAAACAGCTACCTACCCCACAGTGACTGAGGGCTAAGCCCTTATGTAGGGCTTTCCTACACAAACTGGGGTTGGAAGGTACAAGCCCCTCTTCAACCAATCTCTGGAATACAGTCAGAAACATGGAGACCTCAGAACCCCACTCTTGGCAGAACATGCAACACCCAGGTATGGTTCTTCCCACATCAGCCTTCCCAGTGGGGGTAACCACTTGGACCACGTATTTGAATCTTAGGAAGACTGACACCAGATGCTTGTCAAAAAAGGGACCTAGGCTAGAAAAGTTTTTCTTTTTTTTGAGATGGAGTCTCACTCTATCGCCCAGGCTGGAGTGCAGTGGTACAATCTTGGCTCACCACAACCTCCACCTTCTGGATTCAAGTCATCCTCCTGCCTTAGCCTCTCAAGTAGCTGGGATTACAGGTGTGTGCCACCACGCCTGGCTAATTTTTGTATTTTGAGTAGAGACGGGGGGCGGTTTCACCATGTTGGCTGGGCTGGTCTTGAACTCCTGACCTCGTGATCCACCCGCCTCGGCCTCCCAAAGTGTTGGGATTACAGGCGTGAGCCACCGTGCCCGGCTGAAAATCTTTTTCATGAAAACATTTATTAGATGCCAGCTGTACATGGTCTAAACTGTGTATGGGCTCTTAAAGGATTGAGTGCCTGGCTAGAACCAGGAAAACTGCTGTCCCTTTTTCATGTTGACAGAACAGCTATTTCTCATAGTTGGGCCAGTCCTATGGCCTGCAAAGGAGGTAAACATTTTAAAGCAAGACTTAGCCGAACTGGAATGAAGCCAGAGATGAGGGCACTAAGCCAAGCCTCCCAGGCAGTGATTTAACAGATTGTTCTTGGTGTCCCAGCTCTTTTGCTTTGGAGACAGATGGGGAATGTGAAGGCTCTCTTCTGGCTGGCATGAAGCATCTAGGTGACAGAAAAGAAATCCAGAGAGAGGCTGAGGGAGGCAGGAGCTGCTTTTTATTGACTTGGAAATGGGCTCTTTAGTGAAGCCCCTTTGGATTTAAGAGCATTTTCCTTCTTCCTTTGTTCTTCCTGCAGCTTCTGCTGCCTGAGCTGCCATGCTTGTAATCCAGTGTCCATTTCCTGTGACAGCAGTACAACTCGTCTCTGAAACAGACAGGAAAGCAGTGTGGATAACATCTAGGACTTAAGCGCTACACTATATATCCTTCCACTTACAAATTCAAAGGTTTCATCTGGAAAATGACACTGCTGACTCCCCAGTGGGAGCAAGTCCTGGCTTAGGAAGCAGAGGGAGACAGCAAAATGCGCAGCAGGATGTCCACTACTGGTTCCTGTCCTGGCAGTGCCCCACTCTCTTCCTCCCTTCTCACAGTGCTATTAAAACCTTTGGCTGGGGCCAGGCACGGTGGCTCACGCCTGTAATCCCAGCACTTTGGGAGGCTGAGGCAGGCGTATCACCTGAGGTCGGGAGTTTGAGACCAGTCTGATCAAAATGGAGAAACTCCGTCTCTACTAAAAATACAAAATTAGCCAGGCATGGTGGCACATGCCTGTAATCCCAGCTACTCAGGAGACTGAGGCTGAAGAATCGCTTGAACCCGGGAGTAGGAAGTTGAGGTGAGCTGAGATGGCACCATTGCACTCCAGCCTAGGCAACGAGCGAAACTCCATCTCACAAAAAACAAAAACATAAACAACCTTTGGCTGTTATTAATAAAACCTCTGCATAAGGGGTACATGTTTGCTTAGGTGCAACACAGCTCAAGACAAATTATGATTTAAATGTTCTCCTTCCAGGTAGCCCTGGCTGTTGCTCTAGCCACTCACTGCAAACTTCTCCCTTTCAGCTTTTCTTCGAAGTTGGCCTTTCATTGGGGGAGCAGGGCGGCCATCTACAAGTAGAAGTGAGAGAAAAGGCAAGTGTTAGAGACGGTCTGCAGCACCTTGTGCAAATACTGTGATAGGAATAAGGGAAGAACCAATCTCTAGCTCCTCTCTTCCATTTCATATACACTGTAGCTTAATTAAGCTAAAATACGTCCCTCATCTTCAAGGGTAAGGTACGATAACCCAGAATGAGCTCTTAGGCATATTACTACTCTCTTTCATTTTATTTCATTTATCTATTTAGTTTTTCAGAGAGTCTCGCTCTGTTGCCACATTGGAGTGCAGTGGCGCAATCTCAGCTCACTGCAACCTCTGCCTCCCGGGTTCAAGAGATTCTCCTGCCTCAGACTCCTCAGTAGCTGGGACTACAGGCACGTGCCACTATTCCTAATTTTTGTATTTTTAGTAGAGACGGGGTTTCACCATGTTGGCCAGGATAGTCTTGATCACTTGACCTTGTGATCCACCTGGCTCAGCCTCCCAAAGTGCTGGGATTCCAAGCATGAGCCACTGTGCCTGGCCTTTTTTATTTTATTTTTTATTTTGAGACAGACTTTTGCTCTTGTTGCCCAGGCTGGAGTGCAATGGCATGATCTCGGCTCACCGCAACTTCTGCCTCCCGGGTTCAAGTGATTCTCCTGCCTCAGCCTCCTGAGTAGCTGGGATTACAGGTGCGTGCCACCACACCCGGCTATTTACTACTCTATTTCACTTAACTCTCATTAGCCTTGTATTTGAGGTCCTCTGCAATGCTGAATCTGTTTTGTCTTCAGAAATTCTTAAGCAATGTGATCACTGTTGTACTATGTCTTTGCTAAATTCCATCCCACTCCACAATGAAATGCCCTCTTTTCCTTTTCTTCCAGCCAAATTTTCATCCTTAGGTCCACTCAAACCCTAACTTTCCCAGAAACTCTAATCTCTTCAAAGCCATCAGCCTTTTCTTCTGAAAGAAGTGCTGACTATTTAATATTCACCTATTTGCCTTGGGACATTTACTGTACTTTTTTTCTTTAAGTGTTATTTAGCTACCTCAGGTCCTTTTGGAAAGGGGAAGAGTATTGAAATACTACTATTTATTATTATTATTTTAGAGACAAGGTCTTGCTCCGTCGCCCAGGCTGGAGTGCAATGGCACAATCTCAGATCATTATAACCTCCACCTCCTGGGCTCAGGTGATTCTCCTGCCTCAGCCTCCCGAGTAGCTGGGACTATAGGCACATGCCACGGCGCCTGGCCCTGAATACTATTACTTAATTTTTAAAACGTCCATGCTTTGTCCCAGTTAGACTTTAAGTTCCCTGGGTCAGGAACTGTGTCGCTAGCTTTTGCTATTCATAGTATAGTGTAGGCACATAAGCATGTTAATAAAAATCCACAAATATCTGCTGACTTGCTGAAAAGATGCAGTATCTGACCCAAGTAGTTTACTTTCTGCAAAGAAAGAAACAGAGTGAAAACTCTGCCCAAAAGTTTGAAGGCAAGAGAGAGAAGAGGTGTTATTTATCAGGAAGGGGAACCAATATTGTGTATGCCACGTGCTTTACATTGGTTGTTTCATTTTATCCTTATAAGAACCATATGAGATAGGTATTCTTTTACAGATATGGAAACTGAGACTAAGATAAAATTAAGTAACTTGTCCAAGTAACTAGCGAGAAGGGAAGCCTAGATTAAGAATAAGGTCCATAGGCTGGGCGTGGTGGCTCATGCCTGTAATCCCAGCACTTTGGGAGGCTAAGGGGATCACTTGAACTAAAGAGTTCAAGACCAGCTTGGGCAACATAGCAAGACCTTATCTCTACTAGAAGTTTAAAAAAAAAAAAAAAAAAATTAGCCAGGAATGGTGGTGTGTGCCCATGGTCCCACCTACTTGGGGGGCTGAGGTGGGAGGACTGCTTGAGCCCAGGAGATCAAGGCTGCAGTGAGCGATGATCATGCCCCTGCACTTCAGCCTGGGTGACAGGGAAAGACTCTTTCAAAAAAAAAAAAAAAAAAAAGAAGCAGTCATATATAATTCCAGAGTCTTTCCAATAGTCCATACTCCTACAAGGAGATGCCAGGCTTCTTACAGTAAATAACAAGTGGAAAAAATCTTCACTATCTTCCTCAGTCACCAATTATCCAATTAAGCAGGATCATACTCCTAGAGAGCAACAATAGGGGATTAAATATTCAGATCTCTGTGTTGTCAAGGAGGACTGGCTTATGTTTAGTCCTGGCTTTGCTACTACCTAGCTGTATGATCATGGGCAATTCACTTCTGTAGGCCTCAAATTTCCTACTTGTACACTGGAGTCTCATAAGAAGAATGGGGAGTAGCTTCAACTTCTCTAAGGTCCCTCCCTTCTAGGGCTAATATCTATTCTCCCCCACCCCTCTCTTTTGTAAGTAAAGGGAAAATAATTTTCTGAAGGGAGCCTGCCATCCATAGTCTTCATCCTTCTACCCCTCTGAGATGTTTATTTCTGTAGCTTTTCAAAGAGCTCTCCCTGCATTTGGTACCAAATACTGAAAATTCACTAACCACACAGAAAAGTGGTTCTTGGTTAAAAAAAATAATGTCCCCCTTTAAAAAACGCAGAAGTCTTGTCACCCCTTTCCACCCTGGCGGCCCCAAGTCAGAATTATCTTCTGCTTATCTCCACAAGTCAAGATCCTGTTTAGCTTTACCTTCCTTACTTGAAGTGTAATCTACAAAATAAACACGAGGGATTCCCCAAATTCTGTTTTCCAAATAGAAAGTTCAACACTTTTACACGCCCCCACCTTAATACCCCCAGCTCCCCGTCCAGGGGCGTTCCCTCTGGGTGAAAATCTCCCCAGTGGAGTTAACTGTCAGATCAGCGCTCACCCGCATATGACCAGTCTGGGAGGTCTGTAAGGGGCCCGTAGCCGGAGGGGTTGGCAGCCAGTCCCTGCCTGTGTGGAGAAAAACAGATCTTGAGGACCTAGCCCATCTTCTGATTCCCCAGGACCCCTCATCCCAGCACTCACTGTAGTCGCCACTGGCCGCCCGCCCAAGCGGCTGCCCCGCAGTGCAGCCTCCGGACACCTGCTGGGAAAACAGAACAGAGCTGGGGGAGAGGCCGCGCAGCCGGATCAGGGGTCCTGTGCCCGTCCCCAACGCGCCTCCGAGTCCACGGTCACTATCTATACCCACTCACTTAAGAGAACAGTCGCTAAAGCAGCCATGCTGACCCGGAGTCGCCGGAAGTAGGCGTGGCCTCGGTGGCCACGCGCGACGTTATGCGGGAAGCTGGAAGTCGCCATCTTGAATCTGGGTTTTCAATCCCGGGCTCCGCCATCTTGGGTCATCGTACGGAAGGAGAGACAAAACTGCGATCCAGGTTTTCGAGGTGAAAACGAATTGTCGTTCAGGGCATGCATTCTCAGTGGAAGTCGTGTCCTCCCAGATTAAGCCGTTCTGAATGAACAGTTCCCACAATCTCCCTACAGCGGTCTCTAGTTCATCGAAATTGATATTAATAGTAACTTTGATCTCAGAGGAGTAACATCAACGTCATTCTACAGATCCTCGCATCACTGTAACACAGTTTTCCTAGACTAAGAAAAGTAATCAAATCTAGAGTTAATCGGAAATTGGGCCAGCCTGGGCAACATGGCGAAACTCCCTCTCTACAAAAAAATGAAAAATTAGCTGGGTGTGGTGGTGCATGCATGTGGTCTCAGCTACTTGGGAGGCTGAGGTGGGAGGATTGCTTGAGCTTGGGAGGCCCAAGGCTGCAGTAGGCAGAGATCACGCCACTGCACTCCAGTCTGGGTGACAGAGCGAGACCTTGCCTCAAAAAAAATTCCATGACAAGTGCTGTATTAGGAGATTTTATGGAGAATAAAACCAGACATTAATATCCTGATAGAGCTTTCGGTATAAAAGAAAAAAGACAGGCCGGGTGCAGTGGCTCACATTTGTAATCCCAGCACTTTGGGAGGCTGAGGTGGGCGGATCACCTGAGGTTGGGAGTTCGAGACCAGCCTGACCAACATGGAGAAACCCTGTCTCTACTAAAAATACAAAATTAGCCAGACATGGTGGCACATGCCTGTAATCCCAGCTACTCTGGAGACTCAGGCAGGAGAATTACTTGAACCCGGGAGGCAGAGGTTGCTGTGATCTGAGATTGTGGTGATCGGAGATTGTGCCATTGTACTGCCTGCCCTGTAGAGCATCCCTGGCAGGGACTCTGGCCAGATTAAGCAATGTGGATCCTGAGAACACTCCTGGACACTGGATTAAAGAAGGAAGAGGTTTATTCGGCTGGGAGCTTGGCTTTTAAGACACAAATCTGCTGACGTTCCCGGCTGAATAAACCTCTTTCTTCTTTAATCCGGTGTCTGAGGAGTTTTGACTGTGGCTCATTCTGCTACAGTACTCCAGCCTGGGCAACAAGAGTGAAACTCCATCTCAAAAAAAAAAAAAAAGAGACAATCAAATGATGACATACATTAATACTGTCATTGAGTGCTGGGAAAAAAAGTACATGTTGTTTATGAGTTTATAGTGTGAACTTGATCTACAGTACACCATCAAAGATGACTTTCCTGAGAAAGGGGTATTATATTGGAGCTAAGATGTGACATTCCATTTTTATACGTGCTACTGCCACACATTGGTTAATATTATCCTTGCAACAACCCTGTGAGGTAGGTACTAGAAAGTGGCAAACCCTGATTGGTGACTCCCCTCCTTTTATCACTTGCTATTCAGTGATGTCTTGGAGAAGTTATTTATCCTTCATTTTTTATTTTTAAAAATGCTTAATATGTTACATTTGTGAAAACAGTCTAAAAGTGATAATGTGAGTGAAAGTGCTTTATAAATCCCAAAACTCCTACAAAAGAGCCCATTAACTGTATGTCAGGTGTGAAGGGAAAATATCTTGGGCCTCTTCAAGCTGAGAACCTGGGAACCACAGAATTGGAGGCAGATTTGTGCCTCCAATTCTATTCAAAGTCATCTCTCTGCTCACAGAGATAGATGCATATTCTGATTACGTCTTCTGGAAAGACTTATCAGAAACTCAAAATAATGCAACCATCTGTCTCTCACCTACATGTGACCTGGAGGCCCCCAGTGAGGGGGGACCTCGCTTTGAGCTGTCTCTGCCTTTCTGGACAGAACAAATGCTAATGTACTTCTTAACATTTTGATGTCTTCCTAAAATGTATAAAACCAAGCTGTGCCCGGACCACATTGGGCACATCTCTTCAGGACTTCCTGAGACTGTGTTACAGGCGTGTCCTCAACCTTGGCAAAATAAACTTTCTAAATTAACTGAGACCTGTCTCAAATTTCGGGAGTTCACATTTTGGTAACCACAGGAGAATTCTGAGTGGAGATGCCCTTAACCTTTAAAAAAAAAATCTCCTATTGTCTAGGCATGGTGACCCATGCCTGTAATCACAGCACTTTGGGAGGCCAAGGCGGGTGGATCACTTGAGGTCAGGAGTTGGAGACCAGCCTGGCCAACATGGTGAAACCCCATCTCTACTAAAAATACAAAATTAGCCGGGCACGGTGGCTCACGCCTGCAATCCCAGCACTTTGGGAGGCCGAGGTGGGCGGATCACAAAGTCAGGAGATCAAGACCATCCTGGCTAACACGGTGAAACCTCATCTCTACTAAAAATACAAAAAATTAGCCTGGTGTGGTGGCGGACGCCTGTAGTCCCAGCTACTCGGGAGGCTGAGGCAGGAGAATGGCATGAACCCAGGAGGCGGAGCTTGCAGTGAGCCGAGATCATGCCACTGCAGTCCAGCCTGGGCAACAGAGCAAGACTCCATCTCAAAAAAATAAAAGAAATCTCCTATTGGTGCTTGGTACCAGCATGAGCTAACTTTATGGCTCAAACCAATAGGGCAATTTGCTGAAGTCTGAGAGGACCGCCTCCAGAGAATCCCGATCTCCCAAAATTTGGTTGAGATCTAAAGTAGTTTATTTTGCTGTACAACTCCTTTTTTCTTTCTTTCTTTCTTTTTTTTGAGTTTTACTTGCTTCCTACAGGAAGGTAAGTTTTCCTCTTTCCATGAGTTCGAACTCACTTCCAACAGAGAAGATGAGTTGTTTTTTCTCCTGCTTCTAGGCTGGTAGAGAGCAGTCTACAGCCTGTGACCCATCACTAGGTAAGAAACTGGTTTGGCATTTTTGTCTTGCAAATTCCTTTTAAACGAATAAAGTTAGCATTTAACAGCCAGCTGGTGTTAATTTCTGCTTACACTTAGAGCGCTGAGAAATCGTATAATTTGTGTGATCACTGTTAGTTTAGTAGCATTTTGTCATAGCCGAAATATGGTAATGAGATTAAAAAATTTTTTTTCTTTTGTTAAGGAGCTTAATAGTTAAAAGTCAGCTTAATTAAAAGGCTAACATCCAAGATGTGTGTCTGTATGCATGCATGTGTGCATATTTGTATTTAAAAGGCCTTCATTAGGCCTTGCGCGGTGACTCACGCTTGTAATCCCAGCACTTTGGGAGGCCCAAGCATGTGGATCGCAAGGTCAGGAGTTTGAGACCAGCCTGGCCAACATCGTCAAACCCCATCTCTACTAAAGATTCAAAAATTAGCCAGGCTTGGTATCACGCACCTATAGTCCCAGCTACTGGGGAGGCTGAGGCAGGAGAATCGCTTGAACCTGGGAGGCGGAGATTGCAGTGAGCCGAGATCGAGCCATTGCACTCCAGCCTGGGCAACAAGAGTGAAACTCTGTCTCAAAAAAACACAAACAAACAAACAAATACTGAGATAAGATTTTTTTTTTTCTTTTTCTTTCTTTTTCTTTTTTCTTTTTTTTGAGATGGAGCCTTGCTCTGTCACCAGGCTGTAGTGCAGTGGCGGGATCTCGGCTCACTGCAACCTCTGCCTCCCAGGTTCAAGTGATTCTCCTGCCTCAGCCTCCCTAGTAGCTGGGACTACAGGCATGCGACACCATGCCTGGCTAATATATATATATATTTTTTGAGACAGAGTTTCACTCTCGCCACCCAGGCTGGAGTGCAATGGCACAATCTTGGCTCACTGCAACCTCCGCCTCCCAGGTTCAAGTGGTTCTCCTGCCTCAGCCTCCCAAGTAGCTGGGATTACTGGCACCCGCCACCATGCCTGGCTAATTTTTGTATTTTTAGTAGAGATGGCGTTTCACCATTTTGGCCAGGCTGGTCTTGAACTCCTGACCTTAGGTGATCCACCCGCCTTGGCCTCCCAAAGTGCTGGGATTATAGGTGTGAGCCACCGTGCCCAGCCTAATTTTTGTATTTTCAGTAGAGATGGGGTTTTACCATGTTGGCCAGGCTGGTCTTGAACTCCTGACCTCAGGTGATCTGCCCACCTTGGCCTTTCAAAGTCCTGGGATTACAGATTATAGGTGTGAGCCACCACACCCAGCCTGTATGTGCTTTTTTTTTTTTTTTTTTTGAGACAGAGTCTTGCTCTGTGGCCCAGGCTGCAGTGTAGTAGCACCATCTCGGCTCACTGCAGCCTCTGCCTCCTCGGTTCAAGCGATTCTCCTGCCTCAGCCTCCTGAGTAGCTGAGACTACAGGTGCGCGCTGCCATGCCCGGCTAATTTTTGTATTTTTAGTAGAGATGGGGTCTCACAATGTTGGTCAGGATAGTCTTGATCTCCTGACCTTGTGATCCGCCCACCTCGGCCTCCCAAAGTGCTGGGATTACAGGTGCAAGCCACGGTGCCTGGCCTGTATGTGCTTTTAAAGTCTTTGTGACATTGAGTTACAGGGCTCTGACTCTTGGGTCTAAAAAGGACATCGAGTCCTGCTAAATCTTAAACACTGACAACAATTAAAGCCTCATCTTCAAGCCCCATAGAACATGCAAATCAAAATAAACTGCTTTCCTGAGACACAGGGCCTGAAATTAAAGTTATTCAATTCCTCAAGGCCCAGGGACTATTGTGGAAGAGGTAGGCATGTAAGATTTTAAGAGCCAATTTTGAAATGTGAAATAAGTTCAGCTTCTCTATAAATATCATTGGTGTCAAAGACACACTGATGCAAAACCAGTGTATGGACCCTGTGTCAGATTAACAAGGTTTTCTTGCAGCTTTAACCAACTCGTTAATAAAGGTTATAAAGGTCGTAAAAGGCTTACGGAAGTTACATTTTATAATCAAGGTTAA